TTTCAGATAGAGATGTATTAATATGTGTGTGAGTTAGCGTTTCAGTCAGAGATGTAATATGTTTTTTAGTTAGCGTTTCAGATAAAGATGCAATACGTTTGACAGTTTCGCGGTTTTACCTGTGCAAAGTTTGTGTTTTCTCAACCCGATTTTGTGTTCCTCTTGACCGCCTCCTCAGGAGAGCGGATTTCCTACACAATCACCATGTTCCTGTCGTTGGCCGTATTTATGACGCTTATCGGAGAAAACATGCCGAAGGTTTCCGATCATATGAAAGGGATTTCATTTTACCTCCTCGTGGCGATGTTATACAGTTGCCTGTTGATCTTATTGACGATATTCACCCTTCGCTGTGAGACTGTGACCGATTTCCGCAGGTTCCCATGCTGGCTGTTGAGGATTGCCTCATGGCAAGGATTTCACCAACCAGTCCACACCATCAGTAAAGGGGATGCTGATAATAACGCAACAGAGGAAACAATTTGTCGTTACGAAAAAGAGCTATCAAAGATTTTTAGGAAAGAAGACTTAATGCGTTTTGTTGACAAAAGTCTTCTCTTTATAACTCTCTTTGTGATGGTAGTTATAGGTTTCGTGTTTTCGCTATCCTTCTTGGTTTAATTTGAGCAGGTACATTGTCCGTTTATGCGTTATTTAAATAACGTATACAAAGTTTTAAATGTACGGTTATTCCCTCGCGTCTGTGTTAATAGTTTCAAAGAAACATTGAAACAGACAAAACATCTATGTCATGGTTATTAGACAATTATATATAGTACATAGTCAGGTGTAGCACATAGTCAAGTGTATACATAACAACAGGAAGAGAAGAGGGATACATGTACACCAAAAACGGAAACACATCATGCACCGGGTTAGTTTTGTATTGTTTAACTTCCTATTAACAGCTTGGTCATTTAGGGACGGCCTCCCCTGTGTGACATCCTGTGCTACTACTGACACCCAGTATATGTATCCTGAAAACTGGTCATTATTTAGTTAATATATATAATGCCCGTTCCTCTGCCAAAAACGGTGATTATGAATTTGAACTTGTTTTGCTGACGTAACTTTAGTTGAAAATTCATAGGAATACTTTTGAGGTTAAAGAAATGCCACTGGTGTAATAGATAACACTCTGTGTTAATCAATTGCATATCAGTTGTGACGATAATAATGCATGCCGATATTCATTTTACAAAACAATCGAAAATATCGGAACTCATTAACCAAGACCAGGATTTTATTTAGCATTTTATTCAAATCAAGATATTACATTAAAAGGAAATATTAATAGCATATGTTCGGATCAAAGTTCATAATAAATGTACATATTTGAAAATTCAGAGCAAAGTTTCAGATATATTTGTTATTGGTATACTATGTTTTATACTTTCTAAATTACTCTGTAGCTTTTCATTATTATCCTACATTTGGTTTACCGAAAAAACAACTTTAATCAATAAATATGCATTTTCAAATGATTAACTTCGTTCCTGAAATTTACTAACTGATATATACAATCATTTTGTTGTTATGTGCTCTGCTTTTCGAAGTCAAAAGAAAGCATATGGGCGTAGACAAATATAGGAGTAAAGCATGGATGCCAATTGTGGCCTCCTCAACCTACAATGTACATTCATCTTGCCAAAATAAGTATATTATGTGTGTGACAGGGAGTAGTAATACATCCCGTCATTATAGCCTAACCAGGATTCTATCCGGACCTTTTAAGCCGATCTGTTTCATATCAACGGATGTTGAAGACAGACAAAGCACCGTAGCATGCACTATTAATATCATATATAGATTTTATCAATATTATTGTTTAAATGTTCGAAAAAATATATTGTTTGTACATCCATTTATTTCAATGATTTTTTATTGTTCTATAGATTTATCTTAATTTTCTCAAAGCACTGACAGACAAAATTTAAGGTTATTACAGTCAGGTAGCAAGGTACACTTGTTCGTCCACACCTTTCTTTTTTTCTGGTCGATTATCGAAGTATCTGCAGCATGCACATAGCCGCCCAATTCGAAATAAATGTAAATTGATCTGATAACTGTAGAGTGCTGTATTGAGGCACAACATAGAACGAGTCGTTGGCATAATTACGCCGATATATAACAGGGTAATAATGACGTACTCATCAACAATTATAGTATTATCGGAACTCTAAATTATTTTTCCTTTTTATTCATGATTTTGATTGGTCAAAATTGAGGCATTCAGTGTAGTTTGGGATGACAAATTTCCATTGTCCTTTCAAACACAATGACAACCACAACGTGCTTTTATATGATTTTGCAAGTTTTTGGTACGCAGACTGTATTATGTCACTTCAAACTCGATCACGGCTTTTATTTAAAAATGGAAAAAAGGCCACATAAAGTTCATATCGAATCATTGTACGATTTTGTTCGAATTTGGTTTGTAGGTAAATCAAGCTCCCCTTCTGATGCACTCTTTGTGAATATAGGAATGTTCGGAGAACTGGTCAAAGCAGAAACAAAATACAACAAGAAGTCAGTTATTAAGTTTCACTAGTCTACAGACAGAAATAAGTTACATTAAATGTGTCCACACACGGAGAAGAGTGCTTGAGAACAATTCACACTAGCCAGGCCTGCTGTTGTCAGCATCACACAGTGACCTTGAGTCGGGTCAGGATTGCCTGGAGACCAGAGGGCGCTGTCAATCACTCCAAAGCCTTCACTATACTGCCACTGATTTAAAACATACCTTCCGGACACGTACATCTGATTGTGGGCGTTCCCTGAAAATTACAAAATATTTATCTGGTAACGAGTAACGTAGTTTTTGTATTTTCGATAGGTATTATTGAGTACAACGTCTAAGTATATTATTTTTGTAACTTGTAAGGTGCTAATGATTAATTAAAGTATGAAATATAAGTGTTGCCAACATAACTTCTTGAGAATCACCACAAATACAGTGGATTATATTTGTTTTACATATTTGTATACAATTTTTATAGATACACCTGTTTCACTATGTTGCTTTTGGCTTATAAAAAACATCAATACAACTTTTCAATTTACATTATACATGTATCCGGAGTGCATGGCAAAATCAAATTCAGTAACGGAAACTTATTAAGGATTTTTAATGTCATTGGTCTGCCCCTTTTCAAAGACTCTAATATACATTTGTAAGCTTTATTTGTCACAAACAACTTTCAGAAAAAACTAGTGTCTTTTCCACATTTACTTTATAAAAAAAAAATCTGCTGATATTAGTTATTTCGTAACGTATGGATATAACATCGTGTTTCACGTAATGTTTATACAGTGATAATTGGAAGATATTCCTTTGACCTGATATCGAAATTTAAACTCATGAATGTCATCTGACCACAGGTTCATGTCGTATCCAAACAGATTTCAGTAATGATGTAATCTGTTAGTAAATAATGGAGTCATTGAATTTTAGACACACTCTGCAGTGGCAAGCCCTATTCCGATGTCAAGTATTTGTTTTTTCATTTCCCTACTTAGTATATCGTTTCCCTCCACGACTGCCTTAAGACTCGCCATCAATGACAAGGAATCTATCTTGATGAGCTGTGAATATTGTTGGGTACAGAGCCTGGCAGCGTCCAACTGGTTATGATCACGTTCGTTCACCTTGTACAGTGTGTCGTCGTTCAGGACTGGTTTGAATCCTAAAGCTTTGTGTATGTCTTCAATAAAGTAAATAAAACATAGAATGTTAATCATTTTGTTGAATTCCAATAAGCAACATGGATTCTAAATATGACTTTGTCACTAGCTTTCTATATCGATACAGATTTAAATCTTCCAAAACTGATACGTTCTTAGTTGTTCCATTCATCAAAAACAAATCACAATGCAAACAAATGACAGCAAATACTTCGTGAACACCGTCATGATATCTAAAACACTTGAAAGTAAAAACTACATATGTAGAACCAACAGTGGCTCTTAGGCCTTTAATTGGATCAACAGGAAGTCGAGCAAAGGGTAAGCGACTCCAAAGTATACAAACAATTGTGGTGATTGAACGATGAAATATGTAAATAAAACCATGTTTCAACATTTTGCAGCTGGAAATTAGATCTTTATTATTTATGTTTGTTAAACATTCATGAAGTGTCTTACGTTTACGTGTTTCCCTAACGGTGTAACAGCCACTGACGTCAAAACGGAGAGATATATGATTGTTCCAACTCCTTGGAATAATCCGGAGGTACACTGCAGTGATACTTGGGACAACGCTAGCCTTAACTATGGTGGTCTGGTCATTGTTTCCGGTAAATAACTGAAAAATGATAAATAGTCAAAACGTTCTTTTGTTTGTTATATTTACAAAAATAATACGTTTTATCCAAGTAAAGTAAAATATATAAAAAATACATAGTAAATAAATACCTATTAAAAATAAAGTTTGTCGAAGCATAAAGTCTTTGGGAAATAAATGCCGAGCAAAAAACATATTATATCTTACAGGATCCGAAACATATGCAGAAAATCGCGATAATAGTAAAAACTTTCTCCCCTTTTTCACAAATAATTCCTTTTTAAACTAGTATTTCATGTAAACCGTACTACAAATAAATGTTAGTTAAAAGGATAAAGCAAATCTTTCGGGCTTGGCCAATCACCTTGTACCTTAAAAAAAAAAAAAAAACGGTGTTAGAGAACACCAAGATGTGTCCGTATAATCGATTTTAGTTTGAGCTATCTGCCACGTCAGTAAAAGAAACGTATGCTATTGCTTTTTGATATCTTCGTCAAATATCGAATGCATTATTATCCGATATAACCTACCCTAGGTTCTTGGTTGTCCGACATCACTGTAGTCCAAGTAGTATCATCCATGCTATAAGATAGGTGATAGGTTTCAACCCACTGGTTACATATGCACTTTCGACCTTGCAACAAGATTGTTTCTACTTCCGTTTCTCTTGGGAATTTAACCTTAAAAACAAAGTAATTTCAATATACACAAAATGAATGAGATGTTTCCTGGTGGGGGAGGTATCTTCGTTCAATCATAAATCGTTACCTCAATGTTATCGTTATTGCAAATATTTTTCGTCAATTAATAACTTCGTTAAACAAAAAACAAAATACTCTTGAATATTGCAAATCTAATTAAGGGTCGATCTCATCAGAAAATACCTGTATATATTGTTGATTATCAGCATATTCAGATGACCAAGCACCCGTAGTGCGTTTGGTATCATTTCTTTCATTATATAGCCTGCTGTTTTCTTCACCATGGTCGGGATGGCCCTCCCTCGTCCATGTAGTAGATGCGGACAACGCCGAATCTTTCACACCATACAATCCCGATACGAGGTAATCTGAACACACTGTTACGTCTGAAAGAGGAAATTTGTGGGTCCTTTTATACTTATCTGTAACGCCAGGGAGTGTTTTGTCTGTGAAGAGACAACTGTGAGCCAAAGGGGACAATACGTGATTACTTCATACAGTAGGTTGTGTATTGTCTAAAACGAGGCATATAAACAAAATGTAAATAAAGTATCCAGTTGGGTGCTGGTGGTTATTTTGAAAGGAGACAAATAACGAGTCAGGATATATAGTATTGTTTATTTGATGTCAGATCTTTGTATAATAAGAAGACAAATCTGCAAGTCAAGGCAGACAACTTTAGATGTCACTCTGAAACTTAAAAAGAAACACAAGTCAGGGTTCAGCGTTAACACTTTAGTTATCACTTAATTCTTTGTAAACAAGAAACCGATGCTACATTTCTCTGAGGGCACATTTTCTTTTATAATGAATTATAACTAAAGTATTGAGATTGTTGTCTCAAGCAGTCGCAAAAACAGAAACAAGTTTAACTGTTTGCTAAAATACATACTAAAAAATGTCCAGTATGGGACAGGTTTCGTTATAAAATATTGAAGGAATGTGTCAAATGTGTTGTAAAAGTTGCTTCCAGTCTCAAAACAGTGGATTCAAAAGTGGAATTAACTAGTTTTTTCATTTATAATACCGTCAATAATTGAAAAATACAAAATGACAAAAAAAAACCTGTTTGAATATACCGTAGACTTGCTTGTCTGCCATAATTGAGAGGAAAGCAGTTTTTAGATACAGCAATTTCGGGCGTTATTGCCCTTTCAACTAAACCGTATGGTGAGCCGATTAACCTTTTGTTCCATTCGAGTGACATGACCATAATGAAGAGCTGATAGAACTTAATCCTTGATGTGTGAATTGGTGATAAAACAATAATAATTATCGAAATCGTTATTACTATATAAACACATTCGTTTAGACCAATAACTCGGAAAATACCAGGGCTATTCTTACATAATAAGTTCTTGAGATTTGTAATGCAATAAGCGTCGCTGTTGTCTAGGCAACGCTGCTCAATTAAAATGGTACTTTGAGATGGTTCCATCAAGGTTTACACCCAACGCAAAGCGCACAGAAGATTCGATCATGCCATTTTGTGATTTTTGAAGGCTAACAGGTCCAGTGCACATACTATTAATTTATTCAGACCTCGGCATATGATCGTTTTCCTCATTATGTGATATTTGCCTGTCATGTGGCGAGACTTTTTAAAGTAAAACAATTCGTCCACCATTTACTACAACAGGATAAATAAACAATTTATCAATAGCGACGGATCACTCTTTATCACAGGGCATAGTTCATACCGAAATAAGCTATTACTATACATACTACTAAATGAACTCCAACTGTTGATCATGTCTGACACCAAAAGTAGACGATCTGTTTCACTTTTTCGTAATGTCCGAGAAATGTTTTACATGTATAGAAGTATACAGCAATTGTTAACAAGTGAACACTAACAATTAAAGTAATGACAAAGATGTTCTCTACCGAAAACAAAGGTGGGATACCAAGCCAAATAGCCGTGCTGACACCCTATACCTTGCTCTATACCTCACTCCCTGTTGTATGTTACACTAAGGTATCTAACTGACCCGTGAACTACTGCACTAGTTACTACTAAAGTCTATTTAGCAGTTTTAACCGATTGTTACCACTGTTAAAAATACTAAAAGCTTCCTTCATTTTCCACACTTGGATTAAACTCGTTCCGATGTGTACCTTTTTCACAATCGCACAGATTTCAACAACTTAACGCATTTCATAACATATGTGCAATTTCGATTATTATGACTGTGTTAGCCACTCATCTACACCAAAAGCAGAAAATGGAGACATTAAATCAAGAAACTCGTAACTGCAACACTATTCTGAGTGCTCTGAAAAATTGGTTCAATTAAACTTTGAAGGGCTGATATTTTCTTTTCTATTTACCGGGATTTATATTGGACGATTTAAAATTCAGGGTGTAAAACCAACAACTAAAACTAAAAAATAAGAAAATAAAAAACAGCATACTCAAAATTGCACTGTCTTCTAGTCTCTCAACACGTTTAGTTAGGGCCTTGATTTCATCCGTCAGCTCAGACAGGTGGCGTGAATACCTTCGGTCATCGTTACACAGTTCCGTCAGAAGTGGCCTGATAACAGCAGAAACATATGTTATGTGAACATTTTCAAAAGTTTATATACCAATTATGTGCTTATTTAATATCGAATTCAAGACAATATCTGTTATACCAATTAATATTGATTTCTTAAATTTTGTGTTAATTAACAATTATGGACTTTTATTGAGGTGAATATTGGATTGTATGAGTTCGAAAAAGTAATACTGAACTAGACAACTTCATCATGATTTATGTTGTACTTTCATCATTATATAAGATCAAACGTAAGAAAATTAATTAACAAAAATAACTGTACCAGCGAGTATAACGTTCATGTATAACGTTATAATTAAATAACGTTATAAAGAAAATATCAATATTAATTAATGTTTTTAATTTAACAAATGCCTGACCTCCTAAGGATACCTGTAACATCCACACAATGAAGATGATTAGAAACTCCTTATTTGGCCATTTTCACTCACCAACATTTTTTACATGTAATATAACATATTAACGAGGTTATTAATTACTACGATACTAAAAATATCCTGCTTAAATTTTGTAAATGAAATGATATCCAACCCAATGAATAAGTTGGAGCGTGACGAAATTTCAAAACTATTCATTCGATCTATTAATACAGCTCTGCCGATTATCCAGGATAATACAAACGTGGTACATGTAACGATATCGACACACTTAAGAAATTAAATGCCTTGACGACTATTGCAAAAGGAAGAAGTTATTTGAAGTAACAAACAACGTAGAATTTAAAAAGACTTTTACCTGATTTGGTTTAGTATCCTCTGTTCCATGAGAGCTGCTTCTACTGTCTGACGACGGTCAGATGATAAAGGTTGTCCACTAGATAATCTGTTAAACGTGAGGGTTAGTAGAAAGACGCATAGGAAACTCATATTTTTTATACTGTCTATGTCTTGTCTTCAGCACGGCCCGGTACCTGATGTCCTATCAAATGCAGTGGCGACGTCGACTGTATTGTACTTGGGAAACGTCGTGATATACATACGGAAAATTATATCGCACACTTAAGTAATACAAGTGATAATGAGTGATACAATAACGGATCTAACACGTCCACTTTCATGCCCTTGGTTGATGTTATCGCAAGTATACACATTCGTGTAGGGGCGGGCTACAAAATGTACCATGATGTATGTGCAGAAACATTCAGAATGCTATTTTTTTTCGAAGATTTATTTTTTCAAAACATACTCGTATTGCAAATAAATATCATGATGAAAGTTAACATTTTAACGTTTGTAATGTGTTTAATTTCAGTGAGTGAACTCCTCGTATTAAATATGGAGGTGACACAAGGAGGAAGATCATTCAATCCCTCATGTAGAGCTAACCTCGAAAGCTTGGACAGAAGGTGATTGTTGATGTGTATTTAGTTTTGTTCTCTTTAGGAACACTGTGATATACATTTACAAAGATATGTATTGTAATTTATACATATATATACATATATTGTTGTAATGTATGAAAAAAGGTTTGTCAAAAAACAATACAAAAATGAGTTTTACTCATCGTTGTATCGGAAACTCCCTTGTCATCTGATCCCTTCTTTTTCAAGTAAAAATGTACGAAAAGGAGATTTGTCGTGATGTTGGAGTCAAAATAAAAACAATGCAATAATGAAACACCCTTATATTTTGATCCCTTTTATTAAAGCCAAGCCTAGAGATAACCATGCTTCTAAACATCTATAATATCTGTCATTATTCAAAAACAAAGTAATACAATAGTGCATGATGTGCAACAAAAACGCTGATAACAATTTCCTATGTGTTTTCTGATTAAGTTTCAAAAACAAATTTTCAATGTTTTAATCCTTTACTGCTTATATCAACGACACACTACGAGATAGAATGGGACATTAACAAATAAGATTTCATGTCCTTGGATTTTTATAATCATGTCTTGGTAACACGACACAATTGTTCTCTAATACCGGGACGTTTAATCTAATTGTCTGGAGCTAAAACACCATGCATGGTATGTTTTGTGTGTCTACACCGCTGCGTATTGTAGGTGAAAAGATTGAAGGACTTTAACCTTGTCCAATATTTTACAAACAGGATATGTGTGACAAGTATGAGGGCTTAATTTGGTTTTAATTTAATAGGTTCACGTCCTATTAACAACCGTGGTTGTAAAGCTTGCATGCATGTGTGTTTTTGTGCTTGACGCAAAAAAACAAGTAGGTTTATCGTGATTTTGGAGTCAAACTAAAGAAAATACAAAAATGACAATCCATTATCATCTGATCCCTTTTTATTAAAACTAAGCCTTTAGATTAAGATACATCAAGACATGCGTTTTTACGCCTTTTGTTAGAACGGAACTGTCGCCGACTTAATAGTGTTTCCTCACTGAAATCCCATGCTAATTGCACCTACAGTCCAAAAGAGTCGCTAAAGGCAAATATTTTATTCCAATAAAACATCGTTCGATAACAACACAATTATCGTGTGCTTTCGTTGATCTCATGATACATTGTACCAAATTTTGATTTCAAAATCAATAATACTAGGACAAAATATAAACAAGGGAACGATTTACACGGACACACTTGAAAAAGTACAAGAAGAACAAGACCATGTGTTCCGCAAGGGTAAGCGTACTCTGCTTCATCGCTTACACAATGTAAATCTAAGTCGAATCCAAGTAATACAAAGACCTAAACACGGTACTTGTTATAACCTGCTAAACGTTCAGCATTTCGGGTAATTGTACTTTTCATTTTAATTTAACCAAAATGAATACCATAATTGGCATGGTATTTTAGTGCAATAGTACTATCGCAAAGAAGGCAAATACGCCAACATACAGTCTCAAGCACACATACACACATACATACAAACATTACACACTTTGAGGCGCGTACTTCAATGACCTTAAATGTTGATAGGACCTAACTAATACGTTTGTGTAACATTGACCTCTATGTTAATAGAAACATTTGATGTTTCTGAGTTTATACGTACATAAACACCGATAAATACAGTCCATGTGTAGAGGATAAGGTTGATGTCAGTGTTCACTGGCAGTTCTAAACTCATCACTCATGGACATGACACTCTAAAACAAATATTTTTCCTTGTGCAGTAATTGTATTCATAGTCTGTTTGTAAGGAAAACTGGTATTAGTTAACATATCTAAATGAATGTTTTACAAACAACAAATAAGCATGTCAACGACACATTAAGCACAGATCAAAAGTGCATAAATTCATCTCAATAATTAAAGTATGATTGTTTGACATGTGTTTGTTCTATTAATCAGCACCTTATGTTAACATGAGGATATTGAGAAAGATAAAATAACGCTGTTGGTCTGAATTATATTGTTATTTTAATCTTGTACCATCACAATGTTTGATAAACGAAATGTTACATGTAAAAACATAATATGAAATATCGAATAATAATTAAAAGTAGTTCCTCGCCCGAAGATTCGTATAAAACATGCTTTTGGGTTCCTTAGTTAAAAATGTCAAAAGAGCTTAAAATTGCTTCTACATACATTTTAGAAAATAGGGATTTGCGGGTCAAAGGACATTAATCGGGCGCAAATGGCGTGACAGTATCACTCATCATCACTTTTATTACTTAACCATTTTCTGGTTTGTTTTATAAAAAAAAAACCACCCAAATATTATCTTCAATATACTTTTGTGATAATTAATCAGTTAGTTGTCTTGTCAGATATGCAATTTGTGTACATTGCAAATTTCTCCAAACAAGAATGCAAAATTTTCCAAACGAGAAACCTGTTGTTATTCATCAAATTTCATACGTCTTACAAAGGCGTTAACAAGTGTTCAAACCTGACTGTTTGCACATTATATGTATGTACATTAACAAATGCTTAAACAAATTACACGAAAGAAATGATACACGAGGGAATATAAACACCAAATGTAACATACGGAGTTTATATGTGGTTGTCATCCTATGGTATATCTTAAGTAACTGGATCTAAAGGATGTCGAGTGTTTCAAGGGCCTTTGTACATGAGAGGCGTTTACTTACTTGATATACGAAGTGAAGTAGCACTTACATAAATTCATTGTTAACTCCATCACATCACTATTTCGTCCACTTTAGAAAAACAGCGCTTATGTGTTGGGAACGTATAGAATTACAATAAAATAAGAAAGTTACCTTTAAAATTAATTACATTTTTTTAGATTCTCAGGAAAATTTCTCGGCAAAATGTTCAGTAAAAAAATAAATACTATGATTAGTAACGCAGCATTTAATGGGGTTTCATAAATTGTTCTGATATCTTCATCGTAACTATTGTTGTTTTCATTTTTTTCTTGTTTGTTGACACTTACCCTTCCGGAACACCTGGTCTAATGATCCTTATTTTTTTTCAAGTTTTGTCCATTTTGAGTTTTGGTTTAGTTGACACTTAAGCATTCTCTTTTTATATATGTTCATTTCCTTTGAAAATTTTGACTAGAAATAAATCACTTGCTCTTTCTTATCCTGACAGTGACATGAAATAATGGTCTACTATGATGGTTATAAGTTTATATGGTTTGTCGAAAGTTGTACATTGTGTATGATACCAAAGAAACATGAGTAATTCTTTCGGATTGATTGGTCTGGTTTGTTTTTATAGGGTTTAACTTCCTATCAAGATCATTACGGATGTGTCTCCATGTGTGTAATGTATGTATGCATGTGTGTGTGTATGCAGAAGACAAGGTATGTTGGTGTAGATACCTCCTTGTGATATCCGGGTTCTAATGCCAGCTTTACAATGCTACCTTACTGAAATCTATTGCTGAAGGCATCAAGCACAGAATTCATTCCGCCTTGTATACTTACAACTGGTGACGCTTTTGTTGTTACTACCCTTAATGCTGAACGCTAAGCAGGGAATAACAACTACCACTTTTAAGGACTTTGGTATGTTCCAGCATTGGGCGAACGGTCAACATGAAAGCCAAACGTGAGGTACTGCCAAACAAGGCGCTAGGTAACAAAAGGTAGGACTGCAGCAGTAACGAGAAATACAAATATAGTAAATATCGCATAGGGTGCAGCAGGTCGACTGTATTATGGTGCGGCTATGCCTATATTCATTATCATTTCAATTCAAAATGAACAAATATTGTAACATACTGTTTTAACTAAACTTGTCTTCTTTGCAGAATAGGAAAGTTCCTACGCAATAATATGTACACAGATCAAGGGGAGACTGACTATCATTATTTGTTATTTAGTAGAGTAACTAGATCATTAAAACTTCGGCTTCACATGATTCTGTCAGCAATGCAACAGGTAAAATATTTGATTTTTTTTCTCGCTTGTAAACACCGCGGACATGAGCAAGGCTACTCCTTGATTGTGAAGCAGTTCACTACTCATCATAATTGATAACATACCAAAATAATTATGAACATAACACAACACAACGCTGTGCTTTCATCGCCCAGTCACGGGCGCCCGGTGCGGTGGGTGGGTTGGTGGGGTGGCTTAATGAAATATTTTGAAGGTACCAGCCAGCGGCAATGCATACAATATACGCCATTTTCGCAGGTGTAAGGAGATACACAATCTATCACGAGACCACCGGAAGCACACCATATTTCGGTCTCTTTGAATTTCTTTTTCATTGGAATGAAATATTTGGCTTTAGCGACTTTCTTGGCAATACCTCACTTCAGTGCTGGGCGCCATCGGAATGGCATTTAAGTGAGGCATCACTCTAAAGTCGGCGTCAGATACGTTCTAATCACATAAATATACCAACATTCTTTGCCTCCAGCACACAAACACACATGCACGGAAGCATTAGACACATGGAGGCAAGTCCTGTTATGACCCCAGCTGTTAAAAGGACTTCAAACATAATAAACTAAATCAAGCCCTTTATATTTCTTTTTTTTCTGTTCTAACATACTAGTAACACATATCATGTTTGTAAAATAATTTGATAAGGTTAAAATCCTTCACCCGTTTTACTTACAATACGCTGCGGTGTAGATCAACAAACCTCACAGTCTACACTGTTTTAGCTCTAGCCAATGAGATTGAGTCCTTACACTTCCTGGTATAGGAACACAATGGTGTTGTATGAGTAACCGAGAATGCATGAACAAAGTTCAGAACATGAAACCGCATGTGTTAATGTCCAGTCCTACCCCGTAGTGTGTTATAGATAGAAGTCGTAAAGGATTGAAAATATTGAAATACTTTGTTAGAACTTAATAATCAGGGATTGAATAATCTCATCCTTGTGTGACATAAGGGATTATAATTGGGTCACTCTGTGTGTTGCATTGATGTATGAAGTTATAGGCAGTACATTCATTGAAAGTGTAATTTGTTGTTATGTAAGTTTGTTCATAAAGTGTGATATAATCTTCCGGGTACATGTCCCGACGTCCTCCATGTACAATACAGTCGACATCGCCACTGCATTTGATCGAACATCAGGTACTGAAGACAACAACATACGCAGTCTGAACACTATAAGTGTGCGATACAGTCTGCCGTATATATATCACGACGTCCTCCATGTACAAAACAGTCGACGTAGTCACTGCATTTCATAACACATCAGGTACCGGGCCTTGCTGAAGACAAGAACATACGCAGTATGAACAATATAAGTTTCATATGCGTCTTTCTACTAACCAGCACGCACAGATTATCTAGCGGACAGCCTTTATTATCTGACCGTCGTCAGACAGTAGAATCAGCTCTCATGGAACAGGGGATACTAGAACAAATCAGGTAAAATTATTTTTAAATTCAACGTTGTTTGTTACTTCAAATAACTATTTCGTCTTGCAAAAGTCGTCAAGACATTTAATTTCTAGATTGCGTCAATATCGTAACATGTGCCTCTTTTGCAATATCCTGTTTAATCGTCAGAGCTGTATTAGTTTCGTAACTCTCAACGTTATTCATTGGTAAGGATATCATTTTATCTCCAGTGATATATTTTATACAAAAAAATGCATTAAATTCTTTTACGATTGAGGTGGCGCATGAACTCTTCATTTATATAATTGTGAAAAAATGTAAGCTTTGAGAGAAGAAGAAAAGTTGAGTTGAGGTCAGAGTTGTCAGTGGTTCTAATTAATAAGTTGTGTTAGCTGCAGCTGTACGTATCAGTGAATGTCTGCGAAGAGTCTGTAGTTTATTTGCTTAAGATTAGGCGTGCAATTTGGATGTAGAGACATCTTACTTGGTTCTGGAGATCTTATTAAGTTATCAATAAAAGCACGGACCGTTAGGGAGAAATGTTAATTGAGAATGGCCAGTGTTATGAGAACAAACGGTGTTGTGTGTGTTACAGTGGAAATAGGACAGGTTGTGTGTGTCGGATAGAGTTCAGTTTAGTCTTTTGAGGTGCACGAGAGAGGATGTAACTATTGGGAGGATATGTTGAGTATCGTAGCAATTTATGACCTCATGTATATAATGTCGATAAGTTAAAATGGTAACATTGACGATTTCCAATCATCATTATTGTTTGGATTTTAATCTTGAGGAGGTCAGACTTTTGTCCAGTTAAAAAAGTCAATATTTTTATTTTCTTTATAACGTTATTTCAATGATAACGTCATACGTGTTATACTCGCTGCATATACAGTACTTTTTTGTTTGATAATTTTCTTACGTTTAATCTTACATAATGATGACTCATGATGACGTCATCTAGTTCAATATTGCTTTTTCGAGCCCATATAATCCCATACTCACCTCATTGAAAAATCTGCATTATTTCAATTTGTATTACAAATATTGTCTTAAATTATATATTAAATTAGCGCACTATTGGTATATTTAAGCAATGAATGTTTTATCAAATGTTGTTATGGTCCTATAACCCACATTGCTATTGATGACAAAATAAAAATATATTTGCTTAAATATTCATTATTTATATTTACATTTTGAAAGAGTAGTTATGCCTTATTTCATTATTTTGAACAGTTCTTTGAACAGCCAATTAGGTTTTGAGAACAATTAAATTGATGACGTCAGAATAGACATTGATGACGTTACAAAAGCAAATGTTGTTTAAGTCTCATGACAATGGAAGGATGCAAAGCAAATGTAAATACAAACATTTGAATATGTTCACAAAACATATGTTTCTGCTATTATCAGGCCACTTCTGACGGAACTGTGTAACGATGACCGAAGGTATTCACGCCACCTGTCTGAACTGACGGATGAAATCAAGGCCCTAACTAAACGTGTTCAGAGCTTAGAAGACTGTGCGGCTTTGTTGAGTATGCTGGTTGTTTGTTTTTAGTTTTAGGTCTTGGTTTTACACCGTGAATATCTTAAAATCATCCAAAATAAATTCCGGTAAATAGTAGAGAAAATATCAGCCCTTCTAAGTTTTATTGAACGAATTGCTTAAAGCACTCAGAATAGTGTTGAAGTTACAAGTATCTTGATTCAATGTTTCCATTTTCTACTTCTGGTGTAGCGGATTGGCTTACGCAGTTATGCCAATCGAAATTGCACTTTTGTTTTGAAATACGTTATGTTGAGGAAATCAATGCAATTATGAACAAGTTGCTCCCTTGAAAAATATTAAGCAATCATGAACCCTAAATTGTTTTACATAAATTAGGGTTGTCAACGGTCAACCGGTCACTCGGTTACTCGGTTACTCGGTCGGACGACCACGAACTGGTTACCAAAATGTATAACCGAATAGTCGGTCATTTAGCTACACCTTTGAGGCCCCATATTTTCCTTGCTTAGACCTACAAATTTTCAATAGATGCGACCAGAATCGGATAGTGTTGTATTAAACATCCTGTTTAGGGATTACACGTTGGCTTTAATTTTGTACTCTATTGTAAATACTGACAAATATATACTGCCATCACCATAACAAATCTGAACAGATTCTAAAATAAAACCAGAATACAATGTTGTGAAACATAAACTTTAAGAAATAGAACGTGCTTTAACATGCGAAATGTAAATATAATCTGTGTTCACACCTGAATGTACAATATTACCGCATATGATTTCGAGTACAGCTAACTGTAATTGAATCCGTCTTACTGCATTCCGACATTTGTTGTCCATGACATTCACTTATTGAGGTTACATGCAACCTTTTCCAGCGTTAAGCTTGAAATACGAGAGCTAACTATCATATTTATCAATATATACATGTATGTTTGTGGTGTAAACACGTTTAAGATACACATATAATGTGTTTGTTGCTGTTTATTATTTGATTAACAAATTGACCGATTAACTGGTTACTCGATCGGAAGATTGTTCGACTAACCAGTTACCAAAATTTGACCGGGGTGACAACCCTAATATAAAGATTTCTTTTACGAAAGAGAAATTGTTTTAAATTTAAAAAACACATTACATAAATATCAGGGTCAATGATTGCTTGGATATGTAGGAGTCATGTAAACTGTAAGAAAAACACCAATACAAATGCCAAAACTATTTTTTTTTTTGCATATAACGTTAGCTTAACTATCATGTCTGACCCCATACGAAACACTTATCTAATCGGGTACCGAGTAGGATGCAAACAATTAACCGAGAAGATAGTACAGATATATATATACAGCGGTACTTAAAATAGTGTCCGCAGCTTGGTGTGTTTCGCTGATACACAGCGCACACATTGATAAAAGGTATGTGTACCGGAACACTCCCGCCATAAGGCATGTCGTCATATTCAGAGCCGTTCTCTGAACATGAGGGATACGGGAGAGATAGTGTAGTTCTATCGGAGTTTAAACACAGTATTGCATCAGATTAGCGCTAAAATTCTCTGTCTCTACCAACAATCACATCTTTATGTTGCTGATAAAACGTAGTTGTTGACAAATGTGTTTTTTGGGCAGCGTAGATAAAATCAGGCTGAACACACAGATGGTAGACATTGTGTTAAGGATTTTAAATGTAGTAAATGTGAACAGATTTTTAAAACTCTTAATAAAAACACACTTATTCTATATTGAGTTTACATTGCTATTAATGAAACAAATGCTATGATCATCAATAGATAAAACTAGACCTGACACACAGAGATGTGAATATTATTGACCACTTTCAAATGTAGTAAATTAAACAAATTTTGAGCATTTTAAAATACATAACACATCATAAATTGATATTCAGTTGTTATTGCTATTAATGATGAAACTTGACTTCTGGGTTGAGCAGAAGTTTGGCAAAATAAGGTCACTGTTACCTACTATTATGAAAATCGCCATGGGACCATGAAAAGTAAGGACCACATTATTTTCTTCAGAATTAAGAATTGATAAATTTCCAGAATGTAGGGTGGCTTGGGTCTTTATCGAACGTGACTCAAAGACGCTTCCACATAAAACGAAAGTAGCTGCTAACTGTTGTTTACTTCAGTAAACAATTATTTGAACTTTACTGTATCATTTCTTAGGATATACACTGTATACATTTTGTATCTTTATGTAAAATTTGTCATCCCTGCCACATTTCTCACTCAAATCATCATGTAATATTATGTATCGGTTAGCTTGTTAGAAATAATGCAATTATCAAATGCATGGATATGACCTGAACCTTTGACCTCCATCCGGAAAAAAGTTTTCTGAAACATATCCTGTAATGGTCGAATGTCTTGTTTATCTTTCAATTATTTGCGGTTTTGAGATGAAAAAAAATGTTAAATCCACTTTTGCATCCATTGTTTTGAGATTGGAAGCATTTTTTACAACACATTTCAAACATTCTTTCAATATGTTATGACAAAACCTGTCCCCTACTGCACATTTTTAAGTATGTGTTTTAGAAAACAGTTCAACTTGTTTCTATTTTTGTGACTGCTTGGGATAAAAATCTCAATACTGAAGTAATAATTCATTAAAAAATATGCACCCTGAGAAACGTGGCATCTGGTCTCTTGTTCACGAAGTACGTTAGTGATAACTAGTGTTAACGCTGAACCCTGACTTGTGATTTTTAAGCATTTCTTCTCAAGTTTCAGAGTGACAGCTGAAGGTATCTGCTTTGACTTGCAGAGTTGTCCTCTTAGTATACAAAGATCTGACATATAACAAACAATTCTATATATCCTGACTCGTAATTTGTCACATTTCAGAACAGCCACCAGCACCCAATGGAATACTTCACTTACATGTAATATGTGCCTTTTTAGACCATACACAACCTGAAGTAATCATTACTTGTCCCCTTTGACTCACCGCTTTCTCTTCACAAACAAAACACTACCTAGCGTTTCAACAAATGTTATTGACAAAGTTTTTACAAATCAATTGGGTGGAATAACAGGCAAAGCCTTTATAACTTCGCTCCAAAGGTGGCAATAGTAATGCATTATGTAATTTTGTTCATCAATTTTGAAATGAGAATTAGAAACATAAATGTTAAAGGGATGTAACTCACTTTTAAATAACAAAATTGAAATACAAATACATGCACACTTCTCCCATCACACACAACACACTTTTACAGCTTTTTTTTATAACATTTTATATAAGCTAACAAGTCACACAGTTATTGGCCTGCATTGACCAGACCCAGACCCTGGACCGCTTTTCTTTACCAAAAGTGCGTTGCGTTTCCGTTGTGTTTCGTTTCCGTTGCGTTTGCGTTGCGTTTGCGTTGACCGTTTGATGTGCGTTTTAGATTTAGCGTTGAATGTATGTTGAATATGCGTTTTTTCTGGTTATTTAAGGAAACAATCGATTGCTATGTACAGGTTATTTTAAGAATATGTGAGTGCTGAAATGTTTTTATATAAAAATATAGTTATATCAAGGAATTAGATTACAGGGAAAGGCAACTGCCTCTTCGGTATAGAAAAATAAGACCTGGGCATTCTGATGTTGCGGGAACGCGCGAGAATTTACGTGCTTTTGGGAAAAACCCGCCGCTTTAATCTTTTTGGAAATTGATTGCCGGTGACAAATGATACATTCTGGTGAATCCTGTACCGTAAAATTGTCCGAAGTTCAAAGTAAGTGATCTTTGCTTTACTTAGGTCTAAATTGAATATTATTTGTTGTGTCGAATAACAGTAACGTGTCGCAGAATGCGAAAGTTTATAGTGATCCAACACCTTTGCCAACTTGAATAATGTTATGACTTATCACGCGCCATTAACAGATTAAACGCCGGATCTATGAGTAAACTACTTGCTAACAATTAGATTATTAAACATACGGAATAAACATTATTGCTTTTTGATATGTGTTCGTGCCTGTTAGGTGGACATTTAACCCATAGCTCTGAAATTGTAGTATTTGTATTCTGAAAACGGTTGTTGATCGGTGTGTGTTTTAATAATGGCCGCAATTAAGCCTTAGATTACCGATCGCGGGAGGGTTCATGAATGCATGTAATGCTCGGTAATTAATTATGAATATGTAATAATTCATTTACATAATTAAAACCTGGTATATTATCATGTAAATAAAAAGTATTCAATCGCACTGACGATCTAAAAAAAACATATTTTTATGGCTCTTAATATCGACCAAAATTCATCGTAATGAATAGCGTGTAGTTTCACTACCCTTGAGCATCGTCTTGTATTACCCTCCGATCTTTGAGAAAACTACTTGCTTACAATGAGATCATTAGACATACGGAATAAACATTATTGCTTTTTGATATGTGTTCGTGCCTGTTAGGTGAAAATTTAACCCATAGCTCTGAAATTGTAGTATTTGTATTCTGGAAACGGTTGTTGATCGGTGTGTTTTTAATAATGGCCGCCATTAAGCCTTAGATTACCGATCGCGGGTGGGTTCATGAATGCATGTTATTCTCGGTAACTGATCATAAATATGTAATAATGTGTTAACATAATTACAAGCATGTATATTATCATGTACACAGAACGATTTCAATCGCACTGACGATCTAGAAAGTGTATTTTTACCCGCCATCAACATCTCTAGTTTTCTTGCTAATAAATATATTATTTTGACATACGGACTAAACTAAATTGTTTATGTATATGTTTTCTATTGCAACCTGTGGTTATAAGTGAACCAGTATCTCTGATTTTGTAGCATTTGTATTTGTATCCTATCTGCTTGTTGACAAATCCCTATTATTCTCAATGAAGAATTGTATAGATTTTTGTTTTCAAATTGTTGAATAACAAGGCCAGTGTTAAATTGTTTTCACAGTTTTCTATGTACTGATTCACTAAGCTAGGGCTATCCACTGGCAATGATATGTTAATAGAGAAAGATTTCTAAAGTTGTATTGCAAAAGTGTTGGT